CCAATGTGAGAGACGACAGTAGTGTTACCATTAGGCAGATAAACCTTATTTTGTGCATCAGTAATAGATACAGTACTAGTGTCTAATGTGTCAAGATTTGAGGTGATGTGATGAGTAGCTCCAGTGTCTACCACCCATTCACCTGCATCATATGAACACAAGAGAGCAGAAGTATGTATACCTGCATCTACAGAAGCCACCTTGGCAGAAGAATCTACTGTGTTATCACCTCCATTCTTGGATAAGAGCTGGAGAATTTGTTGATACTGGTCCTGAGTGATAAAACCTCCAGAAGTTTGAGCTGCAGTTGAAGAAGTTCTTGACTCAGTGCTGAGAGGTGTATCAACCTGATTAGCATAAGCTCCAGTAGTCTGGCCTTTCCTCTTTGACTTAAAATCAGTTGGATATCCAACAATTTTGTAGCATTGTTCCTTAGAATGACCCCGACAACCACAGTGATCACATTGCAACAAATGTCTCCTATTCTTGTAACTACCAGATGAGCTTGCACCACTACTGTTGTAACTTCCACTCGCACCTGAGATATTACTAGAACTTCCTCTTTTGAATGTGCTTGAGCCTGTGTGAGAGTTTGAATTCCTATTACTGTACATGATTGTGCCTTCAATTGCACCAGGTCCTGAATTAAGTGAACTCGAATTCACTAGACTTCTCTGACACTCTTGGTCCATAAGAAGAGCATAAGCTTTGTTCAAGGTGGGGATAGGACTTATCATGAGAATTTGACTTCGAGGTGGTGAATATGACTTATTCAAACCCATAAGAAACTGAAGAAGTCTCTGATACTCACAATGTTCACCAAACTTCCTCGATTCTGGACAAGGACATGAGGGACAAGGCATGAGAGCATCATACTCATCCCAGAGATCTCTTAGTTTGGAGAAATAGTCAGCAATTACCAGGTCCTGAATTAAGTGAACTCGAATTCACTAGACTTCTCTGACACTCTTGGTCCATAAGAAGAGCATAAGCTTTGTTCAAGGTGGGGATAGGACTTATCATGAGAATTTGACTTCGAGGTGGTGAATATGACTTATTCAAACCCATAAGAAACTGAAGAAGTCTCTGATACTCACAATGTTCACCAAACTTCCTCGATTCTGGACAAGGACATGAGGGACAAGGCATGAGAGCATCATACTCATCCCAGAGATCTCTTAGTTTGGAGAAGTAGTCGGCAATTGCCATTGTGCCTTGAGTGAGAGTGTGAATCTCTCTGTGTAAATGAAATATCCTAGATCCGTTTACAGTATCGAACCTTTCCCTCAAATCCAGCCATACCTTACGAGCATCAGATGCATAGACAACTGAACTTAGAAGTCCAGGTCGAACAACATTCATTATCCAGGATAAAACTACAGCATTACATTTTTCCCACTGATCATGTAACACAGGTTCAAACAGGGATTTAGGAAATCTTCCATCAACAAATCCTAACTTGCTTCGTCCTATAAGTCCAATCCTAAACGATCTACTCCACAGTGCATAGTTCTCAGATCCAGTTAATTGAAGAGAGATCAAAGAGCTACCTGGAGTGTCTGTGTGTTGAAGGAATAATGGATGATTATGGTCGATCACTGGAAACGAAGCCATGGTTGTAATCCCAGCACTTGTACCTTCAGTAGTTGAATCGATTGCCATTGGTAAAACCTAGATTGCAGCTGAATTTAACCTTTGATGCTTCCTTGCGAGTCACCTTTGAACAAGGATGAACTCTGAGCATCCGGTGGTGAAAGCTACAGCAGAATTAGTCTTCGATCAGAAGCTTTGATACCATGAAAACTCCATTAATGGAGGTTAAAACATACTGAATAACAGAGAGAAATCAGAAGGAAGAGAAGAGAAGAGAAGAAATCTTATTGAGCTGAATTGTTATCCTGTTACATTGAAACTTACTTATTTATAGATGATAGGATTGTAACCACCTTCTTAACTAACTATAGAAGCTTCTAGAACATTCCTAACAACTTAACTAACTCACACCATACAACTTGTTTTCACTTCAATGTTGATTAACATCTACATTGAATAACCCCATTTTTAACCTAATAACTGAATTATACAAAAAAAATAACAAAATGTAACTCAAATCTAAATGAAAAAAAAAAAAAACCTAACAAACACTTGAATCCTACATGCATGAACCGTAACAAATCTCTGCTATCTCATGAACTCTAACAAATAGAAAAGAGAATACAGAGATTGAAAAATAATCTAACAAAAAGCTTACCTGGTGATGGCAAGTGCTTTGCTGGAGAGCGAAAATTCAAATTCAAATTGAAATTGAGAAGCCTATACTTGTACATAGGGCCTAAGGGTGTTCATGGTTTGGATAAAAACCGATCCAAATCGAAAAACCAAATCAAACCGATTTAATTTGGGTTTTGGTTTGATTTGGTTTTAGATTCTTAAGAACCGATAGTATTTGATTTGGTTTTGGTTTTATTCGGAAAAAATCGAAGAAATAATCGAACCGAACCAAACCAACAATTTATATACATAAATTTTATTATTATACATACATAATATATTATATTCATAAACAATTTTAAAGATTTTATATATGTTTCATCAAAATTTATTTATAATTTACTTATGAAAGAAAAAATGTCCAAGGTGAGAACATTTTTCTTATTGGTTTCATGTATATGAGTGTCTATGGAAATTCATCGTGGGACTGAAAATGTCATTGTCTCTTCCTTCTA